CCCCCCCCCCCCGGTTCAAAACCGTTGCATTTGTGCCTCCTTCAGCGATCTGGTCACCATTACGTCCTCCAGCTCCTCTCCTCGTTCTTCTCGCTCCTGTTAATACTCCATCCCCTGGCCCACTCCGCTTGCGCAAACAACAGGTTCCCGACTTCTCTCCTGTGCCACCACTGCCTTTGTCTTCCCCTCCCCTTGTGCTTCCAAAACCATTCTCTCGCTTCTACAAGCAGCACTTATCTCTCGGCTTGCAAAGCACTAGCGTCGCTGTCGCTAGTTATCATGCGCCGTGCGGAAAAAGAGGCCGTGTCCAAGCTTTATCCCCGGTCTTCCCCTTTTTTTGCTTTCAATGTCAGACCGAAGAAAGCTCTGCGAGCTCGAGCTCCGGGAACTGGCGCAGCTGGTCCCACCCGCTGACGAATGCGGACCGACTGTTCTCGCCCCCTTTGTACCATCGATTCTCTCCCACCAGTCGACTTGCTTCAGATCGAAACTGAAATCGAAGCCCGAACCGCTGGAAATGAACTTACGCCGATGAGAAACTTATCATCTTCGTGTGTTGAACACGCGGACCGGTGGAAGCGGACTGGCCCTGGCCCCTGACAAATTGGTCAATCGATCGACAGACCCTCTCTCTCTCTCTCGCTCTCTCTCTCTCTCTCTCTCTGTGTGTGTGTGTGTGTGTGTGTGTGTGTGTGTGTGTGTGTGTGTGTGTACACGTGTGTGTTGGCGTGTATGTGTTCGTTACTTGAGTGTGTGTACGTCTGTCCAGCCTTAAATAACTAGCGTCGCGGGGTTGAGGGAAAGAGAGAGGAAGTTGGCGGACCTGCGCCGACTGAAGGCAAATTCTGCCAGCAGAATGTCTTGCTTCTACCAGCCAGACGCGCCAGCCTGTTTCCGGCTTCGCCCACTTCGTGTCCTGAGGTTGCCTCGCACCGAGAGTGTCTTGGCGAAGCCTTGTTTGAGAAGGGCATGGCAGTCACTGCGCGGTGGAGAATGATCGGGCGACAGATTTGGAGTTTTCCTGGGAAGTGGTGTTGAGGGTCTCTCTCTTCGAAGGACCTACTTTTCATGGCATCTTCACTCGTGGACTGTTTTGTCGGAAATTTCCTATTGTCTGTCGTAACGCGGGGAAGAATTCGAGGTGTAAGTTGCGTAGAACTAGACAATGGAGCATCTCGACCCTTGTGCTATACCAAAAATAGCGTAGGCTTTGAAAGAGAAAGCAGACTAGAAAAAGGAAAGGTGCGCGGCACGGCGCGCAGAAAGAAGGGAAAAGAGGAAAGAAACGAATACACTCCAATGCGACGAGGCAGACTACAAAGCGAGTGTCAAAGCATGTGAGAGGGGGAGAAGAAACTAGGGGAGAGGGAGAGAGACAGTAGATCGTAGAGGAGGACCAGAAAATGAGACAAGGAATACAAAGAGCGGAACATGAGAAAAGGAGAAGGAAATGCGGGCCGCTACTCCCCAGACTCGCACGGTGAAAGAACAGATTTGAGAATGATTAGTTCTCACATACGAAGAGGAGAGACTGAAGCGGGCGAGTGGACAAGGTCGATGAGGAGGAGGAGAGAGGAAGAGGGAGAAGAGAGAAAGAGGATCAGGGGAAGAATCACAACGGCTAGAGGGCAAAATTCTTTCCTCTTTATGTGAAACAGCTCGTCGCCTCGTTAGGTCAACAGACCCCGTCTTGAGTAATAACCCCGTCTTTATGAATTTCCGCCAGAATCTCCGGCCGTCCCCTTAGCACTGTACTCCTGCTCCTCTCCTGTTAGCGACACTGATTCGATCTACCTTAATTGGCTACAGCGAGTAATCTACCTTCCTTAATCAATCAATCATACAGAGACTAACACTCTTCCATCCTCTCGCCAGCATCACCACTACCTCCTTCAGACGTGTACTCCCCAGGCTGGGTTTCATCAATCCCTCCCGTTTCGTCTTCTCTATCTATCTCTAGCCACTGGCGGTTTGGAGGCAGCGAAGTCTGTGCCGGAGTGACAAGTCGCAATTGCAACGATCCTGACACGCAGTGCAACTACCAGAAGATGGTTTGCACAGACATGTCTCCTACCGGAATCGGCCACGGAAGCACCCCATCATCGCTCGTATCCCTCCACGTTCCCCCTGTCCCTCGGTGGTGGCTCGTCCTCTGTCCTCCATTAGCATTGACACGGAAATCGAGTGAAATTAATTCACTCCGAGGTTTCCGGCGGCTGGAGACAAAGAGGAGCACCGGTCGACCCTGTTCCACGGTGTGCTCAGACTGGGACTTTTCCTGGATGCATATGACCTCTTTTCGGACCAGACCTTGATGCAGCTGACCGCAATTACGTCCACAGAGAGCCCGAAAAGGTCCTCGGGTGAGTATGCCATTGCTCCCTTCGCTAAATCTTCTCCCCTTGTCGGCAACTGGGCGACAGTTCAACCATGCGGAGTGCAATCCCGTTTCCCGCCTTCCGTCCACGTCCTCGACCACCACCATTTCTCTCTTTCTCTC